CTAGGCGCGGCGGGGGGGGCGTGCACCAGGGGTCCCAACAATAATTATTCTTTAGAAGTAATAATGTTCAACAACACCAACAACAACAACAACAACAACGGCTTCCGCCTGATACTTTTCTTGAGAGGGGAAATCTGGTGTTTTGCTTGAGACTTCCATGACATCTGCTCAGGAGTCTCGCTCTCGCGTAAGACTTCTCCGCGGCTTCTTCAGACGCCGCCCCGCGACACTCAGGGCTCGCGCTCTCGCTCACGATTTCCTTGGGAGTCGCGCTCTCGCCAAATATTTCCTGGCGATGAGCGCCGGATTCACGCTTCAGCGACCCGCCCGCTCGACGCGCCCGTCGTGGCTGGCGCGTCGGCCCCCCGCCTGTCAGGGATTGCCTTTTGCCGTTCGCTGCCCGTCGCCCGCCCTTCGATGCCGCCAGCGCTGCCTGCAGTGGTTCCGCTGCCGCCTTCGCTCGCGCCCTTCGTGGCACCGTTGCTGCACTCAGTGGCCCTGTCGCTGCCCTGTGTGGCCCCGCGTGGTATGCCCTTCGTGGCCCCCGTTCGCTCGCGCCCGTCGTGGCCCCCTGTGCATGCCTTGTGTGGCCCCGCCCGCTGTCGCCCCTTTGCGGCCGCGCCCGTGACACTCAGGAATCGCGCTCTCGTGTTGGCCTTTCTCACGAATTACTTGGGAATCGCGCTATCGCTCGAGCTCTTCTCGCGATTCATGGGGGACTCGTGCTTCAGCAGCCCGCCTGCTCGAGCTGGCCGCCTGGGCCCGTCTTCCCGACCCGCCCAGTAGGGTCTACCAGCCCGATCTGCCCGTTTGGTTCTGCCACATGTGCTCTGCTCCTAGCCCCCTCTCCAGCTAGTCTCTCTCGTGCTCCATCCTCATCCCCCTTTGTCCCTTCCTTCCTTCCGTCCCTTCTTCCCCTGCCTGAGGGGCTGCAGAAAATACACGTTGCAGGTGAGAAAGAGATACCCCTAAAGGAGTGCAATCGAAGACGAACTTGGCGGGTATCGAGAGTTTGGGATATACGCGTTGGGTCCCGAGCAGGTATGAGCGAACTTTCTGTGAACGACTGTTGCTGTTGAAATTGAATTTGCGTTGCCAATGAACAGTAATTGCTGATCCCCCTTTGCCCTGTATCCATTGTGCTTTTCGAATAAGCAATGTTTTATCCCCCCCAGGGCTCGCGCCCTTTTTTTACAAGGGGGAGCCTAGCGTCATCAATCTGCGTTGTCGGGCCGCGAACTCTAACAACAACGGATCCCACCTCAGACGTCCTCACAAATGATTTCGAAGTCGCGCTCCCGCGCGGGACGTCTTTACAACTTATAGAGGGATTATGCTCTCGCGTAGGAATTCTTCAACATGTATTCAGACGCCGCGCCGCTGACACTCAGGAATCACGCTCTCGCTTTGGATTTTCTGACGATTTATTCGGGAATCGCGCTATCGTTCGACACTATCTTCAAATGATTGTTGTTGAACTCTCATGATAGAAGAATAATGATTGTTGATCTCCCCCTCCAGTGCACATTGTATTTTTCAATTGAAGTGCCCCTCCCGGCGCTCGCACTTGTTTTTTATATATAAAACAGGAAAGGCTTCCTCCTCAAACTGTGCCCCTGGCCCTCAGTTTGCAACAACAACGGCTCCCGCTTGATACTTCCTCGCAATTAACTCCGTTCCCCCGCTCCCGCTTGAGTTTTCCTCGCGATGTACTCAAGAACCGCGCTCCCGCCTGAGACGTCCTCACAATGTACTCAGGCGCCGCGCTCTTGCCATTCAGGAATTGCGCGTTCGCTGGGGACCTTCCCACATTTACTTAGGAATCGCTATCTCGCTGGAATCTCCCTGGTTGATCACGCAGAACTCACGATCCGCCCGCTCGGCCCGCCCGTCAGGGTCATGCCCATCGTGTCCCATGCTCGTTCGCGCCCTTTGTGCTTCATTGCTGCACTTCGTGGCCCCGGTGCTGCCGTCAGTGGCCCCTCGCTGCCCATTGTGGCCCATATATACGCCCTTCGTGGCCCCCAGTCGCTCGTGCCCTCAGTGGCCCCATTGCTGCCCTTTGTGGCCCCGCTGCTGCCCTCAGTGGCCCCCTCGTTGCCCTTTGTGGCCCATGTGTTCGCCCTTCGTGGCCCCCAGTCGCTCGTGCCCTCAGTGACCCAATTGTTGCCCTTCGTGGCCCCAGTGTAGCCCCGTGTGCCCCCCCCGCTGCCCTCAGTGGCCCCCTCGCGGCCCTTTGTGGTCCATAGATTCGCCCTTCGTGGCCCCCAGTCGCTCGTGCCCGCAGTGGCCGCATTGCTGCCCTTCGTGGCCCCAGCATGCCCCTTGTGCCCCCCCCTCTCCGCTGCCAATTGTGGCCCCGCTGCTGGCTTCAGTGGCCCAGACGCTGCCCTTCGTGGCCCCCCCTTCCGATCTGCCCGTTTGAATATACCATGCGTTGTCTGGTCCTTGCCCCCCCTCCTGCTAATCTCTCTCGTTCTCCATCCTTTTGCCTCCCCCTTCCACCCGTCCTCTCTTCCCCTGTTTTAGGGGCTGCACTGAATGCACGTGGCAGGTAAAGAAGATATACCCCAGAAGGGGGTACGACCGAAGACGTCGAGGGTGGGTACCGAGGGTGTGGTATATACGCATTTATTGGCACGTGAGCAGATATGAGCGAACAGCTTTGATATGATTGTTGCCGTTGTTGTTGATGTTGTAATTGTCGGTGTTGTTGTTGTTGTTGATGTTGTTGTTGTTGTTGGTGGTGTTGTTGTTGTTGTTGTTGTTGTTGTTGTTGTGATTGTCGTTGTTGTTGTCGTTTGTCAAATTGTCGTTTCAAACGAATCATTTTTGGGGTACCCCCTCCCCTTTTTTTATACAAGGGAGAGTACTCCGGATTCCATAATAAAGTAGGGGGGGTCACATTTGGCGGGGGGGGGTCTAATTTGAGCTGTCTTGGAGGGTTCGTGGGGTCTGGGCAAAGGGCCGCCCTTTCATGGATGGTCTGGGGGAGTCTAAAACTTCTCGTCTGGGAGGGTTGTGACCCCCTCCCTTTTATCACGAAATCTGGAGTAAGGTATCACCAAACTGTGCCCCTGGTTCCCGGTTGCAGTGGGGTGGGCTTCGGTCTGGGGAGGTCCGTAGGGAAGGGGGTTAGCTCTTCGTCGTCACTGTCGTGTTCGTCGGATGGCGTCGTCGTCGTCATCGTCGTCGTCGTGGTCGTCATCGTCGTCGACTAGCTTCGTCATCTTCGTTGTCGTCGTCGACAAAGTCGGCCGGCGTCGTCGTTGTCGGCGGTTAGCGTCGTCGTAGTCGTCGCCGGCGCCAGCCAGCGTCGTCGTTGTTGACGTCGTCGTCGGTCGGCGTCGTCGTCGTACTCGTCGTCCTCGTCGTCGTCGATGTCGGCCGGCGTCGTCGTCGTTGTCGGCTGGCGTCGTCGTCTTCGTGATTGTCGTCGTCTCAACGTCGGACGGCGTCGTCGTCGTCGGCTGGCGTCGTCGTAATCGTCGTCGGCGTCGGCAAGGGGCGTCGCTCTTGTCGTCGGCCGACGTCGTCGGCGTCGTCGCTCTTGTCGTCGGCTGGCGACGTCGTTTTGTCACCGTCGTCGTCTTCGGCTAGCGTCGTCGTCGTCACCGGTCGGCGTCGTTGTCGACATTTTTGTCGTGTCCTTGTCGTCGTTGTCGTGGCTCTCGTCGGCGTCGTCGTCGTCGTCGTCGTCATCGTCGTCGTCGTCATCGTCGTCGGCCGGCGTCGTCGTCGTCGCCGGTGAGAGTTTCCGACTCGATACGTGAAAGGGGAGGGAAGGGGCTTCGAATTGGACAAGTTCAGGGGTCGAACGGGGAAAGGAGGGGAGGGGGTGGTGCTTCGGGCAGAGGTGCCAAATGGTAGGAGGGAATAGCTTCCAGAGCTTGAAACGACCATTGGCGGGGGGGTGCCCTTGGTTGGGAGGTCCTACAAGAGGGGGGGGGGGGGGAAAGTGGGGGGAGCTTGCAGAGGCTGAGGGGAAAGGGGGGGGGCCTTCTGGCTGGGGGAGTTCAAGGAGGGGGGCGGGGGCAGTTTCTGTGGAGCGAAAAACACTGGGGAGGGGGTGGCTTTCCCATTGGGGAGGTGGAGTGAAAGGGGGGTGGCAGCTGGCAGAGTCGCAGGAGGAAGGGGGCGGAGGGGGGGGCATCTGGCAAGGGTGCCAAAGGGAGGGGAGGGGGTAATTTCCGGAGAGCGAACGAGGGGGGGGGCGGGGGACTCTGCGATGAAAGGTCCAAGGAAAGGGGTCTGGCTAAGGGGTGGCCCTCTCCTCTGGCGCTACCTCCCTTGACGATCTTTCGCATGTAGAGGACTGAGAAGTATAGGGTTGGAATAGAAAGCCTGGACTAGCAAGGTAGCCAGATAAGACAGACTCATTCGTAGTTCAAGATGAACTTGAGTCGTGTGGATGGAGGTCTGGTATAGGCAGAAGGGCGAGATGGACTTGTCACTGATAGCTGAACAGCAGGAGTTTATTTAGTATATGTGTTGCACATTGCCGATCCGACGCAGAACAAGTACCATGCCGCAAGCTGCACCGAGGTCCTCCAAATTGTTTGTGAACCAGAGAATAACTCACAGGGCCGGGGTGCTTGCAGATGCTTATCCCGCGCTGCGTATGTGCACGTGGTGTTTGCCCAGTCGATCGGATGCGTGTGTAGAGCACCATTGAACAGACGTTATCCCTGCGCGTCGATTTCCCGACGGCACTTCATGCTCGCATTGGTTTCCGGCGATTGCACAGGAGCCAGGAGGGAACACCTTCGACTCACGGCGGAACCACTCGGGGATGGCAGCAATAACTTTCCCAGACGAGTGTTCTGGACAGGGAAGACATGGAATACCAGCCGGCAGTTAGATCGTTGATGAGTTCTGTTTTGTGCAGTGGGGTGCTTGTGAATAGCCCTCTTGGGCGGCTCTGTCAGATGCCATCATGCCGATGTTGTCGGGGCCGGGCCAGTACTTTCGTGGGTGCTTCGCAGTTGTGCCATTGTCAGGAGAGCACGTCGACGCCACCCCTACGCCTACGCGGAGCCCATGGAAGCGTGGCACTACAGCGCCGCCACCCTTGACGAGCTTTGCGAATGACGACGACCAGGCTCCTGCGTGCGGTTCAAACCAAGCTCTTCCGCAGCACCCTCACGTAAAGATAAACCGGTGCCTCAAGCGTATGCCGATTTGGTGCCGCGTGAAGGGGTCTGAACGGAATTCCGAACAATCTCGGTCAGTGTTGGACCAATGGCTCGGTAGTTCGATGCACGGCCCAAGAAAGTGGCCCTCGGCATTCCTGGGACCTACCGCCATCACGGTCGGGACTCACCCAGACGCAGGCGGGGGGGGGGAAGAAAAGGAGGAGCATCCGTGCTTCCGTGACGCCGTGATTTCGCCGCGCGGTGGGCCCCCCAGAGCTTTCCAGCATCTTCCTCAGGTCCGTGTCGTTTGTTGCGAGTCGATCTCGATGGCCCAAGACATGACGCGGACGCCCCGAAGGCTGAAAGCAGCTCGCGACGCCTCTGAGAGCTGGCTCGGCAAATGCTTCCGCACCAGGTCCGCCCTCCACCACCAGATTCCCCTCGTCTTCCCCCCCTTCCTCTCCCTCCATCCCTCCCCACACCTCCCCTGCTTTCCCTCCCTCCCCCCTTGATATTTTCATCTCGTCCCCCTTAAGGGCCCCTTACCCCAATCCCCAGCCAAACATTTTCCGACGACCTCCGTCACGATTGTCACGATACCTCGTCCAAGAAAGATGGCTTTAGTGGGGGATGACCCGTACGTCAGCGCCACCTCGTACCTGCCACCACCAATACATCACAGGCGCCATCTTCCCCCTATTATTCTCATCCCCCCTCTCCCATCTCGCTTCTCCTCCCCCCTCGCCCCCCCAATTTCCCTTCCCCCCTCGCCCGCATTATCCTTCCCCTCCTTTCGTATTCCTTTGCCCGTCATCCCTCTCCACCTCCATCGTCGTCGTCCTCCACCCTCGCAGCCTCCCCCTCCTCGTCTTCTCTTGTTCCTAGTATTATTATTGATCGTTTTCTTCTTCTCAGTCTGCTTCCTATGTTTCCGATGTGTCTGATGATTATGCTGTTTCTTCTTCGAAGGTTTTTATTATATAGTTGTTCCCTTTCTGATTATTATTATCATTATTCTTCGTCATCCCCCTCCCAGAACAACAAGATTTATGCCGGGTGGAGGGGATGGTGGGGGGAGGCGGGGATGCGAAGGTGATGCTTTCTGGTGGCGCAGGGCGAGGATCAGGAGGACCATGGTTCCATCCCTGACGATTCGCGGATCCCCACCAGCCCATCCCAAACGATGGCCTGGCGAGTTGCATAGAGCAGCGAAGTATAGAAGGATGCAGTGGAACAGCGAGAGGGGACAGGAGTGACACCAATGCTCGGGATAAAACCGAGCAGGCCCAAGAGACATGCCTTCTCGGACCTTTCGATATGGAAGCCTCTTGGCAGCCTACGTGGGCGCTCCTTGGGCTATTTTGTGGCTGCCTGGGGTCTGTTGAAAACCTTGGAGCCTTGAGGGCAGGCCCTCTTGGGGCGATCTTGGAGGACATCGATCAACTGACGAGAGTGTCTTAATTAGCGTCGCCCCTATGGCGCCCGAAAAGTGGCCTCTGGAGGCCATCTTGGGGCGCTCTTATGTGCCTTCCTTGGGCTCTTTTGGGCTCTCTTGGAGTTACCTTGACGCCTCAAGTGCCCATCCCACGCGAAAAGGCGAGAACGCAACACGGTAATCTTCCTTGACTGTTTGAAGGATGTTGGCCTCATGCGGGTATGTCTGGGAGGTCCCGTTGCCACGTGTGGCCGTCCTGAGGCGGCCTTCGGTCCTCTTGAACGCACGTTGGAAGATCTCGTGAGACGTATCGGTCTTCATTGATCGGGGGAGCGTAAGACCTGGGTTTGCCGGAACTCGGGTTCGCCATCGTTTTTTGACGACCGCGACTCGGATTTTGACGAGGAGGAGTTTCGTGTGATGTCTGCAGCGAGAGGCCTCGTCAAAATGCAGGCTCGGCCTCGTCATTTTTTTGACGACCTCGTCGGGGATTTCCGAGTCCCCCGTACCCGGGTCTTACGTCTCCCCGAATTGAGCTTTTTGGGAGACCATCTTGGGCTATCTGAGAGAGTCTTGGAGCCATCTTGGGCCATCTTGAGCGTCCCAGCGCCTCGCGGAACGGCCCGTCCACCCAGGAGAGCGCCCCGACGGTCCAAGACGCCCCCAGGACGGCTCAAGAGCCCTTTAATCAGGAGGGAACAAAAACACAGACACAATTAATCGTCGATTCCCCAGAAAATATGGGAAACTATGGGAAGTGGGGGGGAAGACACAAACCCGGAAAATATGTGGAAGTGGGGAATATTTTGATTTGTGTGTATTGATTTGTGTGTCCTGGGGCCCCTTCATCCAAGAAGGCCTAAGAAGGCCGCAGGAACGCCCCACGAGGGGCCCCAGAGGAGGGGGCAGGGAGAGACCCCCCCGAGAGGCTCCAAGAGGCCCCCACGAGGCCCTAAGAAGCCTCCAAGAGGTCTCCGGGAAGCTCCCCAAGGGCCCAAGAGGGCCCCCGGACTGCCCAAGAGGGACCCGAGATGGTCGGACGGGCCCCAGGGCCCGAAGACTGCTCAACCAGGGCTCCAAGATGGTCGGAGACGCTCCGACAAAGTGGCACAGCGTCAAACGGACAGCACGGGAACCAGCAGAATGCGCCTTAAAGCGGCACGGCGTCGAACGGACAATCTTGGAATCAGCATTCTGCGCCGTAGAAGCATCCTCTCCTGTGTTGTTCTTTTCCTCGCAAGGCACGCCCACTTGCCCTCCAGGGTCGGGGTTCGCAGAGGGCCTGCTGTAGAGGATCATGGGTGAAGGGCCTGCTCTAAGGGCCGGCTGTGGAGGATTATAGGCGAAGGGCCTGAGGGCACGCCCTTCTCTTCGGATGCAACTCCTTGGAGGTCAACTTATGATTTTGCCCCGGCCCGAAATTCGGCTCAACCTGGCTTCTTCCCGCTCGATCCCGCCCAATCCGGCCTACTCCCGCTTCCTCCGAGGTCCAATCTGGCGCAGCAGCCCCCCGATAGGGGCTTAATCCTTCCTAATTTTTCCGACGACAGACCTCCCAGCAGTTGCCTCCTACCTTCTCCGTGCCCGGAGGCGCCGGCGGGGCGGAGAAGCCAGAGATGGGTGCCGGGCCGGAGCGGCACGCGGGGGGAGGGGCCGCGGCTCCGCCCGCGCAGCTCCGGATGCTTGGGCATCGCTGGGACGAGCGTTTTTTTTTTTTGTTGTTTTTTTTTTTCCAGGGGAGGACCATCGAAGAGCAGGTAGTGGGGTGAAGTCGGGCCTGCCCCTCTACAGGAGGCATATCCAAACACGGCCAAGAAATAGTCAGGGGACTATGTTTTGACTATTTTGGAATCTGTTGGGCGTAGTGTTCATTTTCCGCCCCAGATCTCCCTGTAGGGGGGCAGGCCCGACCGAAATATCGGGCCGCCCTGCGAGCAGAAAATATGCACGGGATCCCCAAAAAAGCACGCGGGGCATGGACGTGTGGGCGATGGCCAGGTGCACACACAAGTCTGAACTCAGGAGGGAAAAAAACACACACAGACACAATTAATCGGCGATTCCCAGAAAATATGGGAAAATATGGGAAGTGGGGGGGAAGAGAAGAACCCAGAAAATATATGAAAATATGGGGGATAATTTTATTTGTGTGTATCTATTTGTGTGTCCCAGTTCCCCTTCATGAGCGTGAGGTCGTGCGCTGTGTCGGGGTCTGGAACGGAGCCGCCATCAGTCCGCGTCCTTGCGGCGAGTTCTCGGGGCGAGCGCGCGCTCCGCCGAGAGAGAGGCAGCTTGCGTGGAGCGCCCGTCGCCCTCCAGCCGCGCCGGTGTCGAAAGATCCGGGGATGAGCGTGCGCGGTGCCACAGTGAGGGCCACAGTTGGTAGGCGCGCCGTCCTCCATGCGCGCGTGCAGGCTGCCAGAAATCTCGCAGCGGAGGAGGAGGAGGAGGAGAAAGAGGAGCAGGAGGAGGAGGAGGAGGAGGAGGAGGAGGAGGAGGAGGAGGAGGAGGAGGAGGAGGAGGAGAAGCAGGGGGGGTGAGAAGAGGAAGAGGAGGAGCGCCTCAGGGGGCCCAGCCTGTAGCAATCCAACCAGGGACTCGCCGTCGGCGCACGCTCGCCTTCGGCGGATGGCTGGCGGAGCCCGGCGGGAGGACTACGGCTGCGGGCCCGCCCGCGGAGATCGGCGGAAGACTGGCGGAGGGCGGCCGAAACGAAAGCGAGACGTCAGCACTGAGTGGGCCCTGGAAACGATATGACCGTTTTTGTTGTCCGGTTCCGTTTTGCCGTTTGTTTGAGGGTTTCTGGGTTGCGGACTCCGTCATTTTTTGTTTGATTATTGTTCTGGTTCAAATCTCAGAGCCGTTTTTTTTGCCGTTCCAGTCGCCGTGTTCGTTTATCGTTCCACGTTCAAGGGACACTTTTTCGAAAACGGTGGAAAACGGCCCTCCCTGCCTTTGCTGGGGTGCCGCTGAGCGTCAGCATGCTTACATTCAGGATTCCCCGAGCCCGCCATGTAGACACGGCCCGCAGCCGTTTTGGTTCGAACTTTCTCGGCTCTCCAAGTTGCCGCCCCCCCGCCGGCTGCGGTTTCTCCAGGCACATGGCGCGTTCGGCGGCCCTCTGCGTCGCTGCGTTGGCGGCCCTGGCGCTGTGCGCTGGGCCCGGCTTCGTCTCTGGGCCAGCCGCGCAGCAAAAGCGAGAAGCCAGCGTGGCCGCGAGCGTCCTGCGCAACAACCAGTTCGAGGACATGACCGCCTACGACGCGCCGAGGCGCAAGCCAAACTTCAACGGCATCCGCACGGGACTCAGCGACCTCCTGAAGCCACTCAACAGCGAGTACGGCGTGACCGCCAAGGAGGACAGCCCTGCCACGTACGTTGTGCTGGTGTTCGCGATCGTCATGCTGTTTCTCTTCTACACGCTGCTGCTGCTGATCAACAACCAATCCGTGCTGCTCCCGCCAGAAGACGAATTCGACGAGTACGTTGCGAATTTCCTGCCGTATTTCTTCTTCGGGGAGCGCTGATTCCGAAGATCGGCGGCGAGCCATGGAGGGAAGTTCGAGGGGGCGGGTCTTCTCAGAAAGCTCGGACGTCCCCCGAGGTCGCAGAAGGCTTGTAACAGGGCTGGAGGGTTTCCGAGAAGCCCCGCCGACTTCTGAGAAGTCCTCCTCCTTCTCTCTTCTCCCCGTGGCCTCGCCGCCGAGAAGAGCGGGGGATCGCTCAGGCCAGGGCGTGTCGCCCGCCGGGCCAGCGTCCGCGACGTGTTTTTGCACCGCGAGCGCGCGCAGCCGAGCCGCTCGCGCGCCGAGTCGAAAAGAAACGGAACGCCACAAGCGGCAGGGAAGGCGCAGGCCGAACGCCTGGCCAGCCCTCCCGACATGCCCCGGCGATGCGACGAGGTGGCCCGACACGTTCAGGGGCGCGCAGAGGTGCGGCGAGGAGGATGAAGAGGAGGAGGAGGCGGAGGAGGAGGAGGAGGAGGAGGAGGAGGAGGCCGAGGAGTCGGAGGAGGAGGAGGAGGTGGAGGAGGAGGAGGAGGAGGAGGAGGAGGAGGAGGAGCAGGAGGAGGAGGAGAGGCCGGAGGAGGAGGAGGAGGAGGAGGGGCCAGAGAAGGAGCAGGAGGAGGGGCAGGATGATGATGATGAGGAGGAGGAGGAGGAGGATTAATTAGGAGTTCGGAGGAGGAGGAGGAGGAGGAGGAGGAGGAGGAGGAGGAGGGGCTGGAGGGGGAGGGCGAGGGGGAGGAGGAGGGGCTGGAGGGGGAGGGCGTGGGGGAGGAGGAGGGGCTGGAGGGGGAGGGCCGTGGGGGAGGAGGAAGAGGATGAGGAGGGAGAGGATGAGGACCAGCGTCAACCCAAGAGTCCTCCTCAACGATGTCGGAATAAGGCCTCGCTTTAAGCCCCCTCGTCATAGGCCCTGACACCGGTTCATGTCCAGTGAGGTAACTGCCACGTTGGAAGACAGCCGTTTGAAGATCCTGAGGCATGCCAAGACATTGTTCTCGGATTCCAGCGCCACGGGTCAACCTGATTGTTGCGTCTTGACGATCCGGAATCGTCCCAGAACTCCATTCCTGGGACTTCAACACCGCAAATTAACGTAACTGCTGCAGCCTCATAACCTTGAGCCCTTCCAGACACACTTTCTGGTACGTTGATCATGGCTTTCCGTGAATCTCATGAACATGTGTGAGACGAATGTGCGCGGCGCTGAGGCGAGAGCCACATTTCGAAAAGGAACCACCCTCAACCCGTGAAGCTCTTGCAAGTGTTTGAAACAAATGTGCGCGGCGCTAAGGCGAGAACCACATTTTTGAACATGAGCCGCCCTCCATCCGTGAAGCTCTTGCGGACTTTTTAAGACGAATCTGCGCGGCGCGAAGGCGAGAGCCACATTTTGACAACCATCCACCCTCAGTCCGTGAACATCTGGCAAATGTTTAAAACGAACGCGCGCGGCGCTAAGGCGAGAGCCACATGTTGAAAACCACCCGCCCTCCATCCGTGAAGCCGCTATCATTTTTGTCGAGCTTCAAGTTCATTAGTTGTGAGGAAGTCCCAGGCGACACGCATGGCCCGCCCTAAAAACTTGTCTTGGGGTGCGACAGGGAGAAGCAATTGATAAGGAGAAGGGATGGAGGAGGAGGAGGAGGAGGAGGAGGAGGAGGAGGAGGAGGAGGAGGAGGAGGAGGAGGAGGAGGGGGGCGGGAGGAGGAGGGGCCAGACGAGAAGGTAGAGAAGGAGTTCGGAGGAGGAGAAGGAGGAGGAGGAGGAGGAGGCGGAGGAGGGGCTGGAGGTGGAGGGCGAGGGGGAGCAGGGGGGGGAGCGGCTTCCCCCCGCTCCCAATATCTCCGCGGACCACCCTCCTGCTCCTTCCCCAGGCCGGGCGGTGCTGCAGGCCGGTGGGAGGGGGAGGGGGGAGGCACCTCAGAAGCACCCCCGCTTCTTAGAAGGCGTGGGTCCTGTCTATTGATGTAGGGCTTTCACCTTCTAAGAAGCAGCCTCCTTCCAAGGAGCCTTCCTCCCTCCCCTCTCCCCCCTCCCATCCTTGTGCGTGCCGCCCGGAGGGGGAGGGGGGCGCCCCGAGCAGGTTGAGCAGCCCCAAGGCCGCATGCGGTGGCAGACGAGCATGCCCGCCCAGGAGCCGAGCAGTGCGCGGGGGGCCAGGGGCACGCGTCCATCCCCGTCGTCTCGTCTCCTCCTTGCCCTCCTCCTGCGCTCGAGGAACCCAAAGCGGCACAAGCAGCAACGTTCGCATCTCCGCGCGCATCTCTTGGATCTGAGCTGGGGCCCCCAGGCTGGCGCCTCTCCCCCAGGGCCGCTGCGGCCACGGCCTGCTGCCGTGCGCTATCGCTTCGAGGCTCCCCGATCCCTGACGACGGGGTCGGGGACTTTGGCTCAGCGTGTGGCTCCGCGGGTCCAGGCCCACCCCTCGGCACGGCACGCTGTCCACCTCCCGGTCCCCCAGGCGTCGACGTCCCGAGGTCTTCCCAGCCTCCCGCACTGCGGAGCGGGGCGGCACGCGATCCGCTGGCAGGGCGCCGCGCCTGCCGCCGGGGCCGCCGCGGCGACGCGCCAGGGCCGCTGCAGCCACGGCTTGCTGCCGCTCTTGCCGACGCCGAGCTCCCCAGATCACGGGCGATATATTTGTTCAGCTGGTGCTCTATCCCCGAATTCGGCATCTTGGGGCCATTGTTTGGCCCCAGGGCCATCAAACATTGATCCTGGGCAGATGGGGTCGTGACCCCCACGTCCGAGGATTGAGGCCATCAGATCGTCGGAGGTCTGGGTCATTGGGCGAGGATCGAGATTTTTCCCAACCGTCCTGTGGTGTTGGGTCCTCGTTTTGAAGAGACGGCGCCCCGCGTCCCTCCTCTCCTCCTCCCTCCTCCCCCTTCTCCCTCCTCCTCCCCATCCTCCCCCTCCTCCCTCCTCCCTGCGTTTCACCGACCCAGTGCAGCGCTTCGTGGCCCCATAGGGTAGCTCCACCCAAGGCCCCAGCGGGGGTGGCCACATGCGTCCGCCACACCCAGTACAGCGCTTCGTGGCTCCATAGGCAGCTCCACCCAAGGCCCCTGTGGGGGTGGCCACAGGCGTCCGCCACACCCAGTACATCGCTTCGTGGCCCCATGGGGAGCTGCACCTGAGGCCCCAGTGGGGGTGGCCACATGCGTCCGCCACGCCCAGTACAGCGCTTCGTGGCCCCATAAAGTTTTCTTCCCAAGGCCCAAGTGGGGGTGGCCACATGCGTCCGCCACGCCCAGCACAGCGCTTCGTGGCCCCATAGGGAGCTCCACCCAAGGCCCCAGTGGGGGTGGCCACAGGCGTCCGCCACACCCAGTACAGCGCTTCGTGGCCCCATAGGGAGCTGCACCTAAGGCCCCAGTGGGGGTGGCCACTTGCGTCCGCCACACCCATGTCGGCACACCCTTCATACGTTTTGTGTCGTCCCCAGTGGGGGTGGCCACAGGCGTCCGCCACACCCAGTACAGCGTTTCGTGGCCTCATGGGGAGTTCCACCGAATGCCCACTGGGGGTGGCCACATGCGTCCGTCACACCCAGTACAGCGCTTCGTGGCCCCATAGGGAGCTCCACCCAAGGCCCCAGTGGGGGTGGCCACATGCGTCCGCCACACCCAGTACAGCGCTTCGTGGCCCCCAAAGGAGCTGCACCTAAGGCCCCAGTGGGGGTGGCTACATGCGTGCGCCACGCCCAGCACAGCGCTCCGTGGCCTTATAGGGAGCTCCACCTAAGACCCCAGTGGGGGTGGCCGCATGCGTCCGCCACACCCAGTACAGTGTGGCTCCATAGGGAGTTCCAGCTGCGGCCTCAGTGGGGGTGCCCGCATGCGTCCGCCACACCCAGTGCGCCCCTCACACGCTCCGTGGCCCGTTAGGCCCCCGCCACGCCCAGTAGTCACAGTCCTACACATCTACACTAGGCGTATCCAAACTCGCATTCATGCACACAGATCTACTCGCACGCAGACGCAATCACAATCAGACGCGCTCGCTCTCAGTCTCATCCGCGCTCAGTCCCCCGTGCCCAGGCCTATCGTTTCCGTTCGTGTTGTGTACCCCGCCACACATGTCGGCACACCCCTCGCACGGTTCATGGCCCCACAGGGATCGCCACCGAAGAAGATGTCCACGATTGCGGTCGTCACAACTGCATATCTTTGGGTCCTTCGCCAGGATTATTTGGGTGTTTTGAGTCTTCTGGGCTCTTCGGATGGTTTCTTGTCGCCGCATCTGGGCTTCCCATCCAGCGTCCGGGTCAAAACTCACCACAAGAGAGGTGTTGGGACGATCTTTCACGGGCGCCATGATCCAGACGGGGGCCTAAGGAAAAGAGGTCCCGATCCTCACGGCGGACTGTCTGCTGCCACCTCGCGCCCATTCAGCTTCCAGAGGGGGCACTTCAGAGACGGCCTCGTCTGCGACGAGTCGAGAAGCTGGCATTCCCATACCTCCTGCATCGCGATTGCTTCACGGAGGTCTGGACCGTCTCCTCAGGAAGGGCCTTTCAATTATAGTCGTTTGGTGACGGCCCTGTGGCCCAGCAAGGCCGAACATCAGCAACAGACCTCCGTCGGGATTTTTCCACAGCGAGAGGATCGTCTGTCCCTCGGCCTCGGCGGAGGTCAGTGGAAGACCCTACTCGAGGAGGTTGGCGCATGTTTATGTGTACAAGTAGGTATCCACAGGCATACACGCATGCGGCTACTTACATGGGTGTACAAGTACACGAGGGAGCGCGTTTCACGGGCGCTTGCCTTGGGAACATTCGGCGGTGCTTTTGAACTGGGGGAAGGGACCCCCCCCCAACATCCGGCGCCGTCGAACAGAACCAGGGGGACTCCCCTCCCCCCTCCCCCTCTCCTCCACGACCCCCCCGCCCGACCCTCCAGGGGGGGTCGGCGGCGGCTGACAGCGCTGATGGAGGCGACGCGGCGACGATGACCAGAACGAGGACGACGACGACAACGACGACGACGACGAATACGACAAGGTCCCTTGTAGTCCTCTATCCTCGGCCCCGAGTGTCAGAAAATGACTTGCCTGGATCTCAAATTGAAGTATTCTTCGCGTTGCGTCCCGTGCCTCCCGCGCTTTCCGTCGTCGTCTTCGCCGTCGCCGTTGCCGTCGTCGTTGTCGTCGTCGTCGTCGTGGACGGAGCCGTCCTCGTCGTCGTCGTCGTCTTCGTTGTCGTAGTCGTCTTTGTCATGCTCGATGTCGTCGCGGTCGCCGTCGGGGACGACGTCGTCGTCACCGCCACCGCCCTCGTCGACGTCGTCGGCATCGACGTCGTCGTCGTCGTAGCCGTCGTTGCCGTCGTCGTCGTCGTCGTCGCCAGCGCTGTCGTAGCCGTGGTCGTCGTCGTCGTCGTCACGCTCGTCGTCGTCCATGTCGCCGTCGCCGTGGTCGTCGTCGTCGTCGTCGTCGTCGTCGTAGCCGTCGTCGTCTTCGCCTTCGTCGTCGTCGCCGTCGTCGTGCTTGTTGTCGTCATCTTTGTCGTCGTCCTCGTCGCCGTCGTCGTCGTCGTGTTCGTCGTCGTCTTCGTCGTGGTCACGTCGTCTTCGTCTTGGTGGTCGTCGTCGTGGTTGTCGACGTCGCCGTTTCTGTCGTCGTTGTCGTCGTCGTCGCCGTCGCGTCGTCGTCGCCTTCGTCGTCGCCGTCGTCGTCGTTGTGCTTGTCGTCGTTGTCGTCGTCGTCGCCGTCGCTGTCATCGTGGTCGCCGTCGCCGTCGTCGTCATCGTCGCCGCCGTCGTCGTCGTCGTCGTCGTCGTCGCCGTCGTCGTCGTCGTGGTCGTCGCCGTCCTTGTCTTCGTGCCCATCGTCGTCGTTGTCGTTGCCGCGGGTCGTCGTCGTCGTCGTCGCTGCCGTCGCCGTCGTCGTCGTCGTCTTCGTCGTCGTCGTCGCCATGGTCGCCGTTGTCGTTGTCGCTGTCGTCGTCGCCGTTGTCGTCGGGTCGTCGTCGTCTTTGTCGTCGTCTTTTTCGTCGCCGTTGTTGTCGCCGTCGTCGTTGCCGTCGATGTTTTCGTCGTCGTCCTCGTCGTCGTCGTTCGCGTCTTCGTCGTCGCGATCGTCGTCGTTAGCATCGTCGTTGTCGTTCTCGTTGTTGTCGTCGCCGTCGTCGTCGTGGTTCTTGTCGTTGTCGTCGTCGCCGTCGTCGTCGTCGTCGTCGTTCTTGCCGCCGTCGTCGTTGTGTTCGTCGTCGCTGGCGTCATCGTCGTGCTCGTCCTTGTCCACGATTTTGCCGTCGCCGTCGTCGTCGTCGTCGTCGCTGCCATCGTCGCCGTCGTTGTCGTCATCGTCGTCGTCGCCATCGTCGTCGTCGTCGCTGTCGTCGTCGTCGCCTTCGTCGTCGTCACTGTCTTCATCGTCACCGTCGTCGCTGTCGTCTTCATCGTGCATGTCGTCATCGTCGTCGTCTTCGTCGTCGTCTTCGTCGTTTTCGTCGTCTTCGTCGTCGTCGTCCTCGTCGTCGTCGTCACAGTCGTCCTCGTCGTCGTCGCCGTCGCCGTCGGTATGTGATGAATTGAATTGCGTCCGATGCATCGTCGATGCATCGGCGATGTGTCGGCCATGCGGCGTCGTCCTCCGACCCCATCTATTCGGACCCCAGTGGGGAGGCTTCTGTTTAAGGCTGAGCGTCGCCGGCGGCCCAGACTAATATTGCGTCCGATATCAGATGAAATATAGCGGCATACAGTGGAGACCCATGCCAAGAGACACCCTGCTTGCCTCCAGGCTGCCCTGGGTTTCTCTGGGCGACGACGGCTTTGCGATGGAGAGCGTGGCGTTCCCGCACAGAAAAATTGACGTCCTGGGATCTCAGGGTTCGGTTTCTTGTGGAAGGTTTCTTGTGGACGTGTCTCCACTGTAGATAAATTCTTGGAGGTCCGAGCGGGTTTCTTGGATCGGTGCTGGGCCCCCAGGCGCCGCCTGGCGCCGCCATAGGCGCCCCTCACGCGCCAGGGAGGGGGGCCCAGAGCCCATGTAAGAAATCCGCACGGACCTTGGAACGTCGATGATTATGAGATTTTCCCTTTGTTCTAGGTGTTGAACGATTTCTGCCATCAGAAAGCCGCGATCGCTCAGAGTTGAACCATCCTCTTGGTGTCAGAAGCCGACGCGGAGGTCGTCAAGACACGTCCGTGCCTTGCGTAGCGTCCCGAAGTAGAGGTTCATTTTCAGACCTCCTGGGTCCAACGCCCTGAGTCAAATCACGACGGCCAGAGATTCCAAAATTGGGTCTGGACGCTGCTTTCGTGCCCTGGGCCCACAAACCAAAACCCTACGGTGGATAACCAATCCTGGGGATGGGTTCGGTAGCAGACTATGGAAGCCTGGTCTACCCTGGTAATTCTCGATAGCGTCCGGTAGTCGATGAGATGGCGCCGATTTAGCGTCGATGAGCGTCGATGAGCGTCGACTTAGCGTCGACTAGCGTCGATTAGTATCGGCTCGCAAGAGCCAACAAGATGGCATGGGAGGCTCCCATGGGTTGTCGCAGAACATGCGCGCGTGATCGGGAAAGCCAGGACGTGCGCATGCTGCGGGCGCCAGCCCCGCGTGCCACTGGTTGCCTGACCCATGCGCGCGAGTCGCTGGTCCAACACTTTTGCAGTTCCACGACCTGCCATTGAGTGGGTACGATGAGGAGGAAGAGGAGGAAGAGGGTGTGGAGGAGGAGGAGGAGGATGAAGAGGAGGAGAAGGGAGAGGAGGAGGAGAAGGAGGAGGGGGGAGGGGCACGAGGAGAAGGAGGACGAGGAGGAGAAGGGGGGGAAGGAGGGGCTGTGCGGAGGGGGGGAGGACCAGGAGGAACCACAACGGGGTGCAGCCGTCGCCCTCTCTTCCTCGCCCCTCCCACCCAGCGCCACCAGGCGCCCTCGAGGCGCCCACGCGGCGCCCACCGGGCGACACCTGGGCCGACCCCGCCAGCGCCCACAGGGCGGAGCCCTGGCGCCTCCAGCCCGCGCCCGCGCGGCGCCCGCGCGGCGCCCACGGGCGCCACGCCAAGGGAACATTCGAAGTCGCCACGCCGAGAGCGGCCCACGAAGTCGCCACGCCCGCGTGGCGACTTCGTGGGCCGCTCTCGCTTCGATCTCGTTCTGCGTGGCAGGCGGCTCGAAGACGGCACGAGGGAAAATCACACCTAAACTTCTCTTCCAAGCAAACATAGGACGGGCCCTCTGTTTTGGTTTGCGATCTCGTTTTACGTTGAAGGCGGATGGAAGACAACACGAGGGACAACGAAAACAGAACGAGAACGAAACACACCGCTTAGGTTCAGCCCCGCCCTGGCGGACCCGGGCCCCGGGCCTCGCACCGGGCGCCCGGTCGCCCACCCAGCGGCACCCAGGCGGGCCTTGCCGGCGCACGGGGGCGCCCAGGGGGCGCCCAAGAGGGCGCCCACCGGGGGGGGCTCTCCGCGGGCCCCGCTGGCGCACGGGGGCGCCCACGAGGCGCCCACGAGGCGCCCACGAGGCGCGAGCGTGGCAAAACCCGGGCGAGCGTGGCAAAATGCTTAAGAAATCATGGGATAAGAAATTCATAGTCTCAGAACTTGAGTAAAAACCCAACATTTCTATCAACATCGTGGGATTTACATTGAAAACTTAAGAATAATCGAGACTCTGGACGAAAACTCAGGTTTTCTTAAGCATCGCCTAGGGTGTAGGCGCCCGCCCCCCCCCCACGTCATGATGATGATCACTTCACGGCGCGAGGCGCCCGCGGGCGCGAGCGTGGCCAAACCCAGGCAGGCCCAAGCAATCGGTCCTGGACCAAAGTCAGAGCCCCCCAGCGCCTAGGCGCCCGTCCCTCCCACGTCATGATGATGACCAATTTCGCAAAGTCGACCCCCGGGAGGTGTTCGACCCATTCCTCAGGACCGGCTGTTCTTACCAAGTCATGCTTGGGCGGCCTTGGGGCCCTGTGGGGACCCCCGCAGGCCGCAGAATGACAAAAACATATCATGCCGCCATGTTTTTGTTTCTTGTTTCTTTTTCTCTCTCTCTCTCTCTCTCGGAGGAGGAGGAGGAGGAGGAGGAGGAGGAGGAGGAGGAGGAGGAGGCGACGGGGGTGCTCTTCCCGCCGCTCCGTCGTCTCGACGTCCTCGTCCTCCTCCTCTTCCTCCTCCTCTTATTCTCGACGCCCCCCCCCCGAGGACACGTCCGAGGAGAAGGGCGAGGCTGGCCTGCTGGAGGGCGTGCTGGCGACCTGCGAGGAGCGCCTTGCGGGCCTGCGGCAGAGCCTGCAGCTCTCCGGCCCGACGCCGGAGTGGCGGGCGGGCTGCCAGACCCTGGGCCAGGCGGCCCGCGGCCAAAACCGCTGGGGGCGATTTCGCTTTTGTCGCAACCTAGAACATGTACATTACCAGAGGCGCGTTGTTTTTCAATCCCACGGCTTTTTCAAGGTCAGGGACGCCGTCGGGGTGGTGTGGTGTATACTTTTCGCCCGCTTTCCAAGGGAAAGGGGATCCCGTATTCGATTAATGGAGAGGAAGCATGCTGCCAATAATTTCCAGATGTCTAGAAATGCTGCAAACATGTTTTGAATATGTAGAACACATGTTTGAAACATGTTTAGAACATGTCTTTACACATTTTAAACACATGTTCAATTCAATGATGGGATTGCTAGGGTGTCTATTGTCATGGCATCCACAACGCTAGGGGCGATTTTGTTTTTGTTATCACAGTTTACAATCTGTCTAGGCCTCCTAGTTGGGGCTGGAGTAGGGGGGTCGGAGGATCGCGCCGCATCGCCGAGGCATCGCAGATGCGGCTCGATGTGGGCGCCAACGTCCAAGATGCATCGCCGATGTATCGGCGATGCGGCGCTATCCTCCGACCCCGTTTACTACTCCGACCCCATCTAGGAGGCCTTTTTAGGAGCGTTTCCGTTTGTAGTCCCACAGTTTCCAATACAGTTGCTGGTGTATTTCGCAGTTTAGGTGGTCAGTTGTTGCTTCGTTTTGGGATTATGTATTGTTCGCGCCGTTCTCGGTTCGGTGCTGCACGTCCGTGTGTATGATGTGTTCGGGTATCCGTTTTTATTTTCATTCTGAAATTCGTCATGTATGTGCATATTTATATATCTATACATATATATATATATATATATATATATGTATGTATATATGTGCTCCTAGTTCCAATCACGTTTTCTATTGAATAATAAGGTGCAGAAGAGAAAACGCTCAGATCTTTTGGGTCGGTGCCCTGGGCCCCCCTGGCGGCGCCTCCGGCGCTGCCCCCGGCGCGCGCCGCGCAGCTCTAAGAAACCCCGTCGGACCTCAAACAAGTCAGGTTGCTGAAGTGTTTTGTTCTGGTCTATTGTCGTCGCCGTCGTCATACCTGCCCGCCTCCGTCGCTGCCGTCGTCGTCGGAGTGGGCGGCGTCGTCGTCGTCGTCGTCGGCGGCGCTGTCGCCGTCGTCATCGTTGCTGTCGTCCTCCGCGGAAGCCGCAGGAGGGGGGGGGGAGAGGGAGGAAGAAGGAGGAGGGGCGGGGCTGGATTCGGCATTGGTGAGGTCCTTGTGCCAATCAAATGACCAACAGCTGATCGGATGAGTCCCAAATCCTGTGAGACAGGGCTACGAGCGCAGAGTTTGGGGTCTCTCAGCATCGGCCTCGATCTTGGGGTCTGGGCCTCCTCGGGGCCTCGGGACGGGGGGGTGGACTTCGGTATGATACCTCTATGTTGTGTACGCCCTTCCCCGCTGCAGTTGTTGCTGCCCGAACGGTTGCAGCTGGATGTGAGCATGACGCCTCGGTCTGCACGGGGAGCGGGAGGAGGCAAGCATGGCGGCATCAGCGGCAGTGTTACGCATGACGCTTATTTGTCCACTTGTTTGTCGAGCGGGGGGGGTCACATACAACGCAAGAGTGAGGGGGCAGAACGGTCATTCACTGTCCCTGGGTGCGTGGCTCAAGTGGGGTTCCGCGGTGCGGATCCTTGTTGCTTTGTTGTTTGTTGTGTTTTTGTTTGTTTAATTGTTTGGTTGGTGTTCGTATATGTTTGTTGTGTTTGTTGTCGTTGTTGTTGTCGTTGTTGTTGTCGTTAGTGTCGCCGTTGATGTTATTGATGTTGGTGGTGTTCTTGTTGGTGCCGAATGTTCACATCTAAGTAATAAGTAGTCTTGTGCCGCCTTCCCCGGTAACCATTCTGTTGGTTTCAATGTCAGTGCTCATTCCGGGGGTCGCACCTTGGTTTATACAAGGGGAAGCGAGGCGGCACCAAATTGCACCCCTGGCCCCCGGGTTACAACAACGGCTCCCGCCTGATACCACTTCACAAGTTATTCCGAAGTCGCGCCCTCGCGCGGGACCTCCTCACAAAATGTGCAGGAATCGCGCTCTTGCGTGGGACGTCCTTGCAAATTATGCAGACGCCACCGCGCCCTCGACACTCGGGAACCACGCTGTGCCTGTAGACTTTCTCACGATATATTTTGGAATCGCGCTATCGCTTGAGATTTCCTCGCGACTCACGCAGGGCGCACGCTTCAGCAACCCGCCTGCTCGACCTGGCCGCCTGGGCCCGCCTTTCCGACCTGCCCGTTAGGGTCTACCCGCCCGATCTGCCCCTCTGGGTTTGCCAGGTGTTTTCTGCTCTTAGCCCCCCTCCTGCTATTCTCTCTCGTGCTCCGTCCTCCTCCCTCCCCCTTGTCCCTTCCTTCCATCCGTCCTCTCTTCCTCTGCCTTCGGGGCTGCACGACATGCACCCTGCAGGGAAGAATGATATATCCCTGAGGGGGTACGACCGTAGACGAAGAGAGCGGGTAACTATCGAGGTTTTAGGACACACGTGATGACTGGTGCGCGAACAAATAAGAGCGATCATTATGGTTGCTGCTGTGGTTAGAACTGTGTTGTTGCGTATGATGTTGTTGTTGTTGGTGTTGGTGTTGGTGTTTGTTTGTTTGGTTGATTGATTGATTGGTTGTTTGTTTGTTTTGTTTGTTGTTGCTGCCGCTGTCGGTGTCTCACTCGCGACCCAGCTCGCAACCCACCCGCGACCCACCCGCGGCCCACCCGCGGCCCACCCGCGACCCACCCGCGACCCACCCGCGACCCACCCGACCCGTGACCCACCCACACTGGTCCAACGAAAAATTCGGCGCCTGCGGCGAGCTCGTTGTATATTTCGTATGCGTTCGGCGCCTGCGGCGGGCCTCTTCAGAGCCTCGCGGACTGCCGACGCCCCCGATCCGCAACTGCTGACGAACCAACAACACACACCCATACCCATATGGAGGTCGTTGGGAGGAGGACTGGCTATGGGTATGGGTGCATGTTGTCGGATGGGGGTCCCCGCTCGAACGGGAGCGTTCCCCAGGGTCCGACAACCCGCACCCATACCCATAGCCAGTCCTCCTCCCAACGACCTCCACATGGGTATGGGTGTGTGTTGTTCGTTCGTCAACTGCAGGGTGCTACGTTTTTTGCTTCGAGCGCTCCCCGCCCGAGAGCGCGAGGTGGGATCTTCGGGGGGCACCTGCACCCTCTGCGGCTTTGCGGCCCTGCGGCCGCGGTGTGCCGTCGGCACTCGCCCAAGACGCGGGGCGGGACCCCCGGGGAGCAGCGGCAGACTTCTGGGCCTGGCGACCGCAGCACGCAGGCTGTGCAGGGCGGGTGGGGGAGATCCTGCCTTCGAGTTCTGTGAGCCAAGACTTCTTGTTGTCGTGGGGAGTTGCAGAAGTGTTCTCTCCCTAGCTCTCGAGGGCCGGGCCTCGCCCCCCGCAGGTCCCAGAGGACCTCGGGAAGCAAAGAAACAGCTCCCTACGCAAGGTCCTCGAGGACCTTGCCGCGGAGGCCCTCGACGCCGCCTGCCGGCGGGGCGCAGGGGCGATGGACGTGTTCGAGGGCGCCAGCAATGCCCTCAACGCCACCACGGACCTGATCATCGAGGCCGAGGAGCCGTTCTCCTCCTGCCGCCTTCGTTTGGGTTCCCTCCTCCTCTCTCTCGCCTGCTCCTCCCTTCCCTGCTCCCTTTTTGCTGTCTCCTCCTCCCCTTCCTCCTCCTCCTCCGCCTCCTCCTTCGCCTCCTCCTCCTCCTGCTCCTCCTCCTCGTCCTCCTGCCCTCTGCCTCTACCCGCCCGGCCTTTCCGTACCTGCTTCGTTGCGCCGGTTCTCTGGCCTCCCGCCTGCACGTTCTCGCGGTCTTCGGCGTGGTTCTCGTTTCTTTCGTTTACCTTACCGTGGGGGCCCGTGCCAAGAATCACCTTGCTTGCCTCCAGGGTGCCCTGGGTTTCTTGGGTGTCGATGGTTTTGCTATGGAAGGCGTGACGTCCCCGCACCAGGAATCAAGGAACTTCCTGTGGTCTCAGGGCTGGGCTTCTGGCGGAAGCTTTCTTGAGGACGGGCCTCCACTGCACAACATCGCCAGAAACAAAAAGACTGGAGCCCTGGACCCCATCTTTCTGCGTCATGTTTTGGGCCGGGTCCTTTCGTGCATGACATGCTCCTCCTCCTCTCCTCCTCCTCCTCCTCCTCCTCCTCCTCCTCCTCCTCCTCCTCCTCCTCCTCCTCCTCCTCCTCCTCCCTGCCCTAGGGCACGGCCCTATGGCCTTCGGCGCGCAAGTGGGGCCGCGGCGTACAGTGCGGCGCCCCCCCCCCCCCGGGGAGCGCCCGCGCGCGCCTGCTCGCGAGGGCGGCAAAAAAACGATTCTGCCTCTGTGGGCTCGTGCGGGGCCCCGAGAGCTGCGGTCGAACAGGGTGTCTCAAGAGTGCTGTTCGGTTTGGCCGGCGGGCGGTCCCGCGTTGTTGAAAGAGCCAGTTCTGGGGGGGAGGTCCTCCTCCTCCTCCTCCTCCTCCTCCTCCTCCTCCTCCTCCTCCTCCTCCTTTTCCTCCTCGTGGAGAATCGGCCCATCATGATGGAGGGGTTATACGACGCCGTGGAGAGGTGATGCGGCGCCGGGTCTCCGAGCCCACGCGTTCGCTGGTGGCTCGGAGCACGCGCGGAACGGCAAAAGGGGGGCGGCATGCAGAGGCACGGGCGGGGAAGGCGTTTTAGAACCAGGGGGAAAAGCACATGCGTATAGAGTCGTCGGCTCCCAGGAGAGTATGGACAATGTGGGATCAGGGGGGGGGGTCGAAACTCCAAGAAGTATGGGAAAATATGGGGGGTCCTCGGATTTGTGTATATATATATATATATATATATATTTGTGCGTCCCTGGGCCCATGCTTGAAACCCTTCCCGCATGCGAGGAGCCTCTGTAGGGAGCCTTCTAAAAAGCCCTCTTACCTTCTGAGAAGGCCGCCCCGCTCTCCGTGTCCTCCCTGGGCGCCCCGCCAACCTTGTTCCCCTCGGGCGGGGGGCTGGCTGCGGGCGTGGTTTTGTGGGGCGGGGGAAGCTTCGGGGGGGATGGGGGCATGATTGACGCGCGCGTGTCGTCTCCCACAGAGTGCTTGATCGTCAAACCGTGCGCGACGCAACAACCAGGTTCGTCCTCGACACCCGCCCGCCGATAAGGTTTGTCTGACCGACGTGGCACTGCTTTCCTGAGACTGCGTCGCCTGCGGGGGCGCGAAGTTGGGCGACCGGGCCGGAATCCAAATCTGCACGTGACGGGGGCCTGCCCGCGGCGCTCCAGCCTGCCCCGGCCTGGCGCCGGGGCTGCGCCGGACGAACATCGCCGCGCACTCGTAGGTGCCGTTTGGCTGGTCGCGGCGGCCCCGAGCAGAACGCTGCGGTTCGACTGCGTTCCCTTCTGAGTCGGATCCAGCAGATTGCTCCTCAAGGCCAGAGGAGGCCGGGAAACAGTGCGAAGCCGTCCAGGCGACCCACGCCCTCGCAGCCAAGGCTACCCGCATCCGTGTGCATGGACCCTTCGCAGTGGGCGCGAGCGTTAAAGGCCGTCGGCGAGCCGCCATCGCGCCAGGCTGACCAGGCCAGGCTCGCGTCGGAGCTATGACGTCAGACGCCACGGGCTCGAGCACGGTCTGGGAAGTGCTCCAGCGAGTCCACTCCACAGCCGCGTCAGGCAAGGTCACGCTAGACTGGCTGCAAATACACCGCAAAAGGCATCCTGGGCGTGGCTACCGGCGCTTATGGCGACCTCGCTGGGGTCCTGCGCGCCGCCGCTCAGCAACAGTTGCCGCACAGCCGCTGCGCAACCATCGTGGTTGCGCCCGGCTGGCCCTCGCAATGGCCGTCGGGGGCCGCGATCATGCCAGCCCTGTTGCCCGTTGCGGTAGCGCCCCTCGCGCGGGGCAGCAGCGAAACGCCATCTGCCAGCACGGATTTTGCAAGCATCTGGTTCGCCTTTGATGTGTTCGACATCGCGGGAATCCGCGACAACCGAGCAGCCGTCTGGGAAATGGTTGTCCCCTGCAGATGGAAGAAGAGCGCGCCATCGTCGCAGCAGCCCAGCAGCAGCTGAGCTCGCAACTGCGCGCCTGAAAAGGTGGAGGGTCTGCGTCAGCCTGCGGGGCACAAGCCCGCGGGGAGTGGGGGGGCGGGCGGACGCGGCCCCGTGGCTGCCGGTCGGCTGTTCCCGGGCTCGAAGCGGCACCTCCCCCCGTTGTGGCCGCGGGCCTGCTTCGGTCTTTCTCTCCCCTCTTCCCCATTGGCGGTTCGCAACGGGGGCCCCCCTGCCCCGTCCTCGTCGGTCTAGCCTGCCCTGGCCTCGGGAGGAGGGAGGAGGAGGAGGAGGAGGAGGAGGAGGAGGAGGAGGAGGAGGAGGAGGGGAGGAGGAGGAGGAGGAGGAGGAGGAGGAGGAGGAGGAGGAGGAGGAGGAGGGGAGGAGGAGGAGGAGGAGGAGGAGGAGGAGGGAGGAGGAGGAGGAGAGGAGGAGGAGGAGGAGGAGGAGGAGGTGGAGGAGGAGGAGGAGGAGGAGGAGGAGGAGAGGAGAGGGGGAGAGGAGGAGAGGAGGAGGGGGAGGAGGAGGAGGAGGAGGAGAGGAGGAGGAGGAGGAGGAGGAGGAGGAGGAGGAGGAGGAGGAAAGGAGGGAGGAGGAGGAGGAGGAGGGAAGGGAGGAGGAGGAGGGGAGGGAGGAGGGAGGAGGAGGAGGAGGAGGGAGGAGGAGGAGGAGGAGGGAGGAGGGAGGAGGGAGGAGGGAGGAGGGAGGAGGAGGGAGGAGGGAGGAGGGAGGAGAGGGATGAGGAGGGATGAGGAGGGAGGAGGAGGAGGCGGAGGAGGAGGAGGAGGCGGAGGAGGAGGTACGATGAGGAGAGGAGGAGAGGAGGGAGGAGGAGGGCCTGGCTGGGCGCGCTCGGCCGCGCGCGCGCTCTGCGGGGGGGCCGGGCGGCGCGAAGAGGGGGCGCGCCGGCGCGGCCGCCGCCCGCGCGGGCGGGGCGGCCCGCCCGCGCCAGCGGCGGCCGTCGCAGAGGCCAAGCTGGTGCAAAAGGCTATGCAGCTGCCGGCGTGCGCCCTTGGACACCGAAGCGGCCGCGGGCCAAGATGCCAGCGATAGATCGCAGGCCTAGAGGTTAACACCAACACCAAGATCGGCGGTGTGCTTCCACCGAGGGAAGAAGATCCCGATCTCGGCGATGGTGGTAATATTCTGGCTTCCAAGGTGACCGAAATATTACCACCAACACCGAAATCTAGGATCATCTTTCCCATGTGGAGGCAACCCCCTGTTCTGGTGTTGGTGCCAATTTCCACGCCTCCAAATAGATTGCGCTTGGGGCGCCAGGTCGAGGTCGCGAGAGGTATGGGGCCCTGTGCGCAGGCCGACAAAACCGCGCGCGCGCCCACGAGGTGCCCAACGGGCCCGAGGTTGGCACGTGCACGGGGGGGGGGGGGGCACCTCCGCCGCGCGAGCGCTGGCGCCTGCGAGGGGTCGCCCGGGCCCCGTGCCAAAGCCGGCGGGCGCGTCCTTTTTGGTCTAACGCGCCAGGTCGAGCCCGCGAGAAGCCTATGAGCCCCGGGAAAGAGGCCAGCACAAAATGCGCGCGAGGCCAGGAGAAGCCCAGGGGGCCGAGGCCAGCGCCTGGCGCGATCTCCCCGGCCGCAAAGATGCTGGCGCTTGTTGCGAGAAGTCGTCAAGGCCCCGAGCAGAAACCAGCTGTCGCGGTCGCCCGCCGACCTGGCGCCTACGAGAAGCCCGCGGGGTCCGAGGCCAAAGCGAGGCAGGGGTGCACGTTTGCCGATCCAGCGCCTGCGAGAAGTCGATTAGGCCCGGGGCGGACACCGGCGGCTAATTCAACCAAGCGGGCTCCGCAAATTCGAGCCACCGCCCCCTTGGAGGCAATGCTGGGGTGCGGGGGCCTGCGAACCGATTTGATTCGAGGTGGGACGTCGGACAGGGCCTATAGGCCCGCCCGGGCCGGTCACCCATCACCCGGGGGGGGCATTGTTCCCGGGCTCGAAACGGCGCCCCCGTTCCGTTTTGGCCGCGAGCCTTCTTTGGGTTTTCTCTCTCTCTCTCTCTCTCGCACTCTCTCTCTCTCTCTCTCTCTCTCTTCCTTCTTTCCCTCAGAGAAGGGGCGCTCGCCCACTGGCGGTTCGTAGCGGGGGGTCCCCTGCCCCACCTTTTGTCGGTAGTTGCTTCGACAATCGTTCGTTGACCGCCGTGCCTCTGCTCGCCGCGAGCGCGTTGTTGTTGTTCGCCTGTTCGCCCCCGCCACTGCCGGCGGTGCAGAGCACGGCAGCGCGCGCCGTCCGATGTCAAACGGCGTCGGGATGGGCGCGCACCCCGCATCCACTACGGCTGGCAACCATTCTTGCATCAATTGCAGTGCCCAAGTCGAAGCCCATCGGGCCAAGGCCTCAGCGTCCCCCGGAAGAAACTCCCTCTTGGCAAGCTTGGGCCCGCGAGCATGTCTCGGCCACGTTTCGGCCGCGTCGAGGCCTGAACGCCCCCTGGCCCCTCATGGCAAGCTTTGGTTTTTCCGCATGTATGTGCCATGGTGAGGCCACGTTGAGGCCATCAGGTCATGGCCTCGACATGCCCCCGA